AATATAATAGAGTTTGGATTTTCCACGGCACACCTGACTGGGCTAGGGTATGGCGACTGCCATACTCTGCCATACGGAAACGCCGCCCCTGTGTTGGTGGCACAAGTTTCCTGCAAGCCTTAGTGCACAATTGCTTATGTTTTGATGAAGTGACGTTGGGCAGATTGTGGAAGATATTTCTGCAGCCAGGCATGACGAATGCAGATCAAGAGTTTCCTGCCATTAGTGGGTCTCTGAAAATTTCTTCATTATCATTATGGAAAATGGTAATGTTTCATGCATCATTTTTGAATGGTGAAAAGAGGGAAGATGGATTTATAGAATCTCCCAGAAAGCAATAAGGCTGTTCAGTTTTAAGATCGAAAACTTGGGATTCTGAATACATTTTTAGAGTCACAGATTTTGATTATTGAGTAAAATAAGATCTTTAGGAGGTTTAAACCTTTTTTTCTACCACATATGCTACCATTCAGTAGTTTGAGATCTTTAAATTTTAGTTTTTTTTTAATTAATACTCTTTAATTCAGGAAGGATGCATAAAATTGAACAAAAGTGACTGTAAAGACGACGTACATTGTTACAAAATATCTATTTTAATCAAAGAACCCTGGAAAAAAAGTATTACGGTTTTCACAAAAAATATTGAGCAGCAAAACTCTTTTCAACATTGAAAATATAAAATGTTTCTTGAGCACATTAGCATATTAGAATGTTTTTAAATGGTGGTATGAATTACAGAGTCCTCTCAACTGTGAATTCTGAAACCAAGTGTGCTTGACAAGTAAGAAATCCTTATGTGGCAACTTGTTAAAAACTACAAAATGGTTACAAAAGTAATAGTCGAGGTATGACTCTGTAATTTATTTTGTAAAATGTGAAAGTCTCTTCAAGTAATGTTAGACCTTATTTTACTCATAAATTGAAATCCGCTATTCTAAAAACCTAATTGAAATTCCCGATGGGACCCACAGAGAATCAGCCCTCTGGGTTGGCCTACAAACCGACATCATGACTAAACAGCTATTATTTTTGGAGCTCATTCGAGGCCAATCGCAGCCTGATCGCAACTAGCAATTGTGCTGATGTCAACAGCAATTGAGGTTAATTTACTCTGTATCTACAAGCCATGTCAAGTAGCTCTGAAGTGGTTGGTGCAATTTTGCCTAGTTCTAAAATCAACAAAATGTCTTTTTTGGTGGCGAGGAAAGACTCCCTATTTAAACATGTTACAGAACGTCTCAGGTTACTTATGTAACCATGGTTCCCTGAGATCTCAGTATGGAGATCAGGAAGGAAAGGAAGGCTCACCTGAGCTGGAGGGTTATGGCCAGAAAGATAACGTTCCGCGAGACGACCTCGCGACGTCACTTCCTTAGTCCGCTTGGGACTTCCTTGGGCCTTTATCTGTTAAAAACTTGAAAGTTCATTACGTATTATTTTTTTCTTCTTTTCTGTGCCAGACTGTAATGTGTCTGGGACATCCATGTCTGTGCAGTCTAAACACCTCATTTTCTCTCATTTTTCAAGTGAACTAAGATATGTTTTGCCTTATTGATTGTCTTTTTATTAAGTGGCTACCATTGAAAGATGTGTCCTACTTGCCTTCAAGTGCTGGTGTTAACCTCAGACACTGAACGCTACCTACTCATTTAATGTATGCAGTGTGGACACTTTGAACTATTACCATTATTAATGTTATCTATCAGCTCAGCAGTTGGCCACTATCCCATGCAACTCCTACTTCACTTTCAGTAAGATTATACACGTTTTTATAATGGCAGTTGAGAAAATGGCCCAAGGGCAATCCAATTATGATGCCCCAAAACCTTACTATGTTAACTTTCCCTGAAGGCCGGAATCTGAAGTTGGGACAGTTTTCCATGGTAGAGCATATCTTAAATTAGTTAACAGCTCCCAAATCGCCACTTACCATGCACTTATGTGCCGCTGTCAGCATGTATTTCAGTTACTCAGAGTCTCGTCTAAGCCATCAAACACTTACTAAATTGATGCAGACAAATCAAGGAAGTGGTGTAGAGCCACTTTAAAAGTAGCCGTCAAGCAACCTAAAAAAAAAAAATTGTGTATTTGAAAGAGTTCAGTCTTTAATTCTTGTATCTTCTGCTAACCAGAGTCTGCTTATGAAGAATAATGTAACCATAAAAGAAAACCCTAGGCCTTTTAGAAAATTAGATACCAACTCAAATGAAGAATGATCTCTTCCCACACATTAATCATTAAAAAGAGAGGAAGTTATAAACCTTTTTCATGCTAGAATATTATTTTCTGGTCTGTATCCTAATGAATTACTAAACGAAACACCATGTTTTTTTTATTTTTTTTTATTATAGTGTAAAATTAGCTGTCATGCAATCACTCAGAATGTTCTTTGAGTAGGAATTAAGCATTTGTAAGGCTGTCTGTTCACTAAAGAATGATGACAGAAGCTTGAATGTCACTTTTTAAATACTTTTTAATGCATGAATTCACTTCAAATCGCCAAACTATCACAGTCTGGTACTTTGTTGTGAACCTGATTGCACAATCAATTGTTATAGGAGCCGTTAGATAGATGTTTTTCATTGAGGCAACGGTCTTGACTTGCCTCTGATGATTTTAACTAAAATATTCTGAGCTGTATCAAAATTGTACACACACAATATCATTTTAACCCCAGCAAATTATCTTGGCTCACCTGCTAATTAAGCCTTGAATACAGTTTAGGATGAACATATGCTAATTTTAGAGAAAAAGAGGAGAGCTTCAACTGATCCAGCAGAGATGAAACAGTGTAACACGTTTCCTCTTTTATCACTCAGTCATGAATGGATTTTCAAGTTATTTTAGTTTTTTTCTGCTTGGAGCACCAAGATTTTAATTTCTCCACACAAAATCTGTGCTTGCATAATGAGTGTGTGTGTGTGTGTGTGGTTGGCTCTTGTATACTGAGGTGGGTTTGAGCAACATTGCTGTGAAGTGATTAGATAAGTCACTACAAGCTTGCCATCTCACTTGTAATTGGCTCTGAGGACAAGGGTAGCTTGTATGTTCAGGCACTGACTGCTTATAAAACGCTTATGTGTCTCTTTCTTGTTTGCTCTCTTCCTTCTGCTCTATACAGCTACTGTTTTTGCCCTGTGGAGCTTTCTTTCTTTCCATGATGTATATACATCTTTACTGTATGTCTGTCATCAGTAATGTCAACCAATACAGATATAATTTTATATTCATATCAATTATGTACAGTGAAACTTCTAGTGAACCTTTGTTCAAACTTAATGAAATCAAGAAAGAAGTGTGATTAAAAAAAAGAAAGAAAGGAGACACAACAATGCTAAAATTTAGGCCAACTACGATTAGCAAGTTATGGCTGATAATAGATAAATGATATTATATAGGCCTATACATACATTTGACAAATTTACATGATACTTAAATATTTTGGCAACAGATAAAAACATATCCTGATCATTAGGATACAGACTAATAAATATAGTATGATATTCTGGCATGAAATTCAAGCATTTACAGCATATTAACTCATCAAATATTCAATATATTACAATAAAATTATTCTCTATAAATATAAGTAATAAAAATGTAAGAATATGTATATATATATATATATATATATACATATTCTTACATTTTTATTACTTATATTTATAGAGAATAATTTTATTGTAATATATTGAATATTTGATGAGTTAATATGCTGTAAATGCTTGAATTTCATGCCAGAATATCATACTATATTTATTAGTCTGTATCCTAATGATCAGGATATGTTTTTATCTGTTGCCAAAATATTTAAGTATCATGAAAATTTGTCAAATGTATGTATAGGCCTATATAATATCATTTATCTATTATCAGCCATAACTTGCTAATCGTAGTTGGCCTAAATTTTAGCATTGTTGTGTCTCCTTTCTTTCTTTTTTTTAATCACACTTCTTTCTTGATTTCATTAAGTTTGAACAAAGGTTCACTAGAAGTTTCACTGTAATTTTCAGTACACATGGTCCACATAATATTTTGGCTAAACATTTAGTTTGAGAGAGAAACAAAAAAATGCTGGTTTACTGCCATATTCCTGCAAAAATGCCCATCTGATTCTTCCAAATGACTAGACATGTTATTCTTATTGTTTCCAAACGAAATACACAGTGTCTGCGATTTAATGATTTTTTTTTAAGAAATCAAAATTTAACTTAAGTTAATCAGTTTGGTGTAGCACCGCATTCAGTGCGCCCTTTGTGCTTTATTTCTCTGATTTCTTTTTTTCTTTCGAGTCTTTACTCTTTATCTTTCTCACTTTTTTCTCTCTCCATTTTTATTGCTGCCAAAAAGAATAATGTTTTAGTCCCACAGGAAAATAGTCTTTGAGTAAACTTTTTCTCCCACCGTTCTTCACTGACACTTTGCATTACTCTTCTCAATATCTGGCTCCCCTGAAACAAAGCAAACTGATTCCATTATATTAACTCAATATTCATGATATGATTTGATTTATTATGGGTGATTTACATTAAAAGAATAATAAAACAAAATTAACTCACTGTATACAAATTCAGTAGAACATATCCCCAGACTCAATCTATATATAAAACCTTTAAACAAACCATAAAATACTTCATGTTACACAATGGTATATAAGCATCCTCTTGCTGTGCTGTAGTGTCTGCCTCAAGCACCAATAGCATTTGTCTGCCACCAGCTGTCACAAATCTCCAGCATCTCTTTTTCTCAGAATAGCGCTGTGACGCAAAATCAATGGAGCCTCTTGGGTCCTTCCATCACCCCAAATATCTGCAGTGAACTGCTGGTTGAAGGCATTCAATAAAAGAGTCCAGTTGCCTGGAGATGGGATTGCAGAATGGGGTGGGAGACAAATGACTCTTACTTTAAAGCATGTAAGAGCATGCAAGTAGCTAGGTCGGGCTTAGAGGTCTGATAGATGGATGAGTGATGTCTTTTTTGTCTTCTCTGTTATTTGTCAGTCATCGACAGTCGGATGCTGATGGAAGGACTGCAGAGATTCGGTGCAATCCCGACTTATCTTCCGGTCCGATACCAGGTGCTGAATGCAGAGTCTGCCTTCTTCCTAAAGGAGGCCAACCAGGACATCATGAGGAACTCCAGCCTGCAGGTTCGTACAGAACTTTTCTTCATCCAACAAGCCAGAAAGACGCCGTCGGTCAATGCCAGTTACGGGCCACTGTATGTAGAACAACCTGTGCCTGCGGAGCTTCTGGGCCCAGAACTCTTCAACAACCCCTCATCCACGTCGCCATCGTCCACTTCCTCTCCTCTCTTTAGTTTTAACTGGAAAGTGCAGACTTTTATTATCAGTGAGCGAATCCATCCAAGTTGGCCGAAGGTTCAGGTTCTCTTCTACGTTGTGGGCCGGGACTGGGATGACTACAGTGCCGTGGACAATTTGCCGTGTGTCAGGATGTTTGCCTTCCACGAAACCCAAGAGGTACGAGGCACCTGTCATCTAAAAGGGGAACTCGGACTGTGCGTGGCTGAACTGGAACCTCTGCTTAGCTGGTTCAGTCCCCCTAGTGTCATACCAGGTCGACAGAGATCTCCCGAGCTGGTTGAAGGCACTCCTGTGGAGCTGTATTACATGCTACAATCCACCGACACTGGAGAATGCAGCTCGGAAGACTCCCGCAAGACCAATTCCATCCACACTGGGCAGCTGGGCCCTGCCGGGTACTTCTCAGGGCCCACACCCATGCGCAGGATCGGCAGCGTACGCCTATTCCAGCCGCTCTCTGAGCTGCGTTTGGACAGTAACTTTGTGGTGATGGTTCCCTCCAGACCCATCAGGCAGAGGGAGACGGTGTCAGCCTTCCTAGCAGTCTCCACCCTTTCATCAGTAGAGATCTTCACTTTAAGGTGAGTGACCAACTCTTGTAGTACTTTTTTAGTGATACTTTATTTTATTCATTTTGTGGAAAAGAGCATATCTGACATTTTGATAATTAATCAAAAGTAAATTTGAAAAAAGGGTTTGTTAACCATGTTTTGTTGACATATTTGTGATGACATCTTTTTTGCCCCCAACGGTTCACCCACCCCCCAAAAATATTTGCAGCACTGCTAATACTTTACCTGCAAATACCATGAAAATTAAATAATCAAGTAAAACTATTTCATTTTTTTTTAGTTTTTGGAAGTTGTATTCAAAATTCACTTGGCTCAAGAACATGCCCACTCAGTTTGAGTAGGCATGCTGTTTCTAATGTAGGCTGAATAGATAAATTGACAATTTTAGTTTCTGCATGGCCCTTGAATTTGGATGATTTCATGCTCTCCAAATTCACTGTTGTCAACGCAAACCACGTTTATCATCGGTGCAAGTGATCCCGTGTGATTCCCACAGTCCTGAGGTATCTGGTAATTTCAAAAGTGTTATATCCAGGCCTCGAAAAGTCTCACAAATTAATAGAATCTGAAAATGTCATGTAAAATTCAAGGAATTTCTGTACTACTTACATTTATTCTAGTCATTCATTTGACTACAAATTACTCTCTGTACAGTAACTGTGTTCTTTAGAAGATTTTAAAAGAATTTACCAGTAATCCTAACAAATGATTGGAAAAGTCTGGAAATTCATTTTTTGAAAAGTATGGGACCCAAAATGTAGCCTGGATTGTGTTTCCTTGTACAGTACCTTGTGTAGCTTTGTTCATGGTTTTCAAAGATGAGGACATGTCATGCAGCCTGTCCATGTTGAAATCCGTCTAATTTGACTGGCTTCTACCATGCTGTTTTCATCAAAATGCCATAATCACACAATCTTTGACATCATCAAAAGATGTGGGAGGTTTGTCCACAATCTTAAAGAGATAGTTCACCCAAAAATAAAAATTCTGTCGTTAATTACTCACCCATATGTTGTTCCAAACCTGTAGGATGTTTGTTCATATTCAGAACACAAATTAAGATATTTTTGATGAAATCCGAGAGCATTCTGACCCTCCATAGACAGCAAGGGTCCTACGGTGAAGGTCCAGAAAGGTAGGGACATCTTTAAAATAATCCATGTGACATCAGTGATTCAATCGTAATGTTATGAAGCTACGTTATTTTTGTTTTCTTTGCACACAAAAAGTATTCTCGTAGCTTCAGAAAATTATGGTTGAACAAAGGTCTTACAGGTTTGGAATGACATAAGGGAAAGTCATTAATAACAGAATTTTCATTTTTGGGTGAACTATCCCTTTAATAGAACAGACCTGAATCTCACCTGTTCAAAACCACTGGACTTTAACGATAGGTGTTATAAAACGACTGCACCTTCTAGGGGAACATATTTAAAAGTTTATCTTGACATTATGTGAAATCTACATAGCCCAAAGGCAATTCGTGAGATTACCCTTTCAAAACAATGACTAATTAACTCTCAATTAGTAGATTTAACTCTTAATTAGTAGAATGCAACTAAATACAAATGAATTATTAAGTAAGAGATGTGCAGACTACACAAGATGACCTGTTTGAAATTAATTTTCCTAACAACCCAGTGTGCAAAAGTGAGAAAATTCTTTTTTGATTCATTGAGTGTTGAGCTCTAATTAGAACAAGCGGATTTGATGAAGCGACTAAAGACATTCTGTGCAAGTGAGTAAATGACCGTGAGAGAAATTAATGTTCATTCCTGTTTGTATTTTCTCACGCCTGATATCTAAATCATGTTTTGAGTTATACGCTAACTGCCTTGGCAAATTTGTCAACCTCGGTTACCATTGAATTACATCTCGGCCACTATCTCATGCGTGATTAACGAACTTTAAGTGTTCCGGTCTCAATACGATCCAGTTTTGCTCCTATCTAATTCGTTTGCTAATAGTGGGTGTTTACTAGAACAATGACTGAAGCTTAGCATGCAGAAATAAAAAGCTCAGAAATTAATTGCCTTTGATGTAGACAGAAATAAAGATTTTTATTGCTGCCAAAAAGAATAATGTTTCAGTCCCACAGGAAAATAGTCTTTGAGTAAACTTTTTCTCCCACCGTTCTTCACTGACACTTTGCATTACTCTTCTCAATATCTGGCTCCCCTGAAACAAAGCAAACTGATTCCATTATATTAACTCAATATTCATGATATGATTTGATTTATTATGGGTGATTTACATTAAAAGAATAATAAAACAAAATTAACTCACTGTATACAAATTCAGTAGAACATATCCCCAGACTCAATCTATATATAAAACCTTTAAACAAACCATAAAATACTTCATGTTACACAATGGTATATAAGCATCCTCTTGCTGTGCTGTAGTGTCTGCCTCAAGCACCAATAGCATTTGTCTGCCACCAGCTGTCACAAATCTCCAGCATCTCTTTTTCTCAGAATAGCGCTGTGACGCAAAATCAATGGAGCCTCTTGGGTCCTTCCATCACCCCAAATATCTGCAGTGAACTGCTGGTTGAAGGCATTCAATAAAAGAGTCCAGTTGCCTGGAGATGGGATTGCAGAATGGGGTGGGAGACAAATGACTCTTACTTTAAAGCATGTAAGAGCATGCAAGTAGCTAGGTCGGGCTTAGAGGTCTGATAGATGGATGAGTGATGTCTTTTTTTGTCTTCTCTGTTATTTGTCAGTCATCCACAGTCGGATGCTGATGGAAGGACTGCAGAGATTCGGTGCCATCCCAACGTATCTTCCGGTCCGATACCAGGTGCTGAACGCAGAGTCAGCCTTCTTCCTGAAGGAGGCCAACCAGGACATTATGAGGAACTCCAGCCTGCAGGTTCGTACGGAACTTTTCTTTATTCAACAGGCCAGAAATACGCCGTCGGTCAATGCCAGTTACGGGCCGCTGTATGTGGAACAGCCCGTGCCTGCGGAGCTTCTGGGCCCAGGACTCTTCAACAACCCTTCATCCATGTCACCATCATCCACTTCCTCTCCACTCTTTAGTTTTAACTGGAAAGTGCAGACTTTTATTATCAGTGAGCGAATCCATCCAAGTTGGCCGAAGGTTCAGGTTCTCTTCTACGTTGTGGGCCGGGACTGGGATGACTACAGTGCCGTGGACAATTTGCCGTGTGTCAGGATGTTTGCCTTCCACGAAACCCAAGAGGTACGAGGCACCTGTCATCTAAAAGGGGAACTCGGACTGTGCGTGGCTGAACTGGAACCTCTGCCTAGCTGGTTCAGTCCCCCTAGTGTCATACCAGGTCGACAGAGATCTCCCGAGCTGGTTGAAGGCACTCCTGTGGAGCTGTATTACATGCTACAATCCACCGACACTGGAGAATGCAGCTCGGAAGACTCCCGCAAGACCAATTCCATCCACACTGGGCAGCTGGGCCCTGCCGGGTACTTCTCAGGGCCCACACCCATGCGCAGGATCGGCAGCGTACGCCTATTCCAGCCGCTCTCTGAGCTGCGTTTGGACAGTAACTTTGTGGTGATGGTTCCCTCCAGACCCATCAGGCAGAGGGAGACGGTGTCAGCCTTCCTAGCAGTCTCCACCCTTTCATCAGTAGAGATCTTCACTTTAAGGTGAGTGACCAACTCTTGTAGTACTTTTTTAGTGATACTTTATTTTATTCATTTTGTGGAAAAGAGCATATCTGACATTTTGATAATTAATCAAAAGTAAATTTGAAAAAAGGGTTTGTTAACCATGTTTTGTTGACATATTTGTGATGACATCTTTTTTGCCCCCAACGGTTCACCCACCCCCCAAAAATATTTGCAGCACTGCTAATACTTTACCTGCAAATACCATGAAAATTAAATAATCAAGTAAAACTATTTCATTTTTTTTTAGTTTTTGGAAGTTGTATTCAAAATTCACTTGGCTCAAGAACATGCCCACTCAGTTTGAGTAGGCATGCTGTTTCTAATGTAGGCTGAATAGATAAATTGACAATTTTAGTTTCTGCATGGCCCTTGAATTTGGATGATTTCATGCTCTCCAAATTCACTGTTGTCAACGCAAACCACGTTTATCATCGGTGCAAGTGATCCCGTGTGATTCCCACAGTCCTGAGGTATCTGGTAATTTCAAAAGTGTTATATCCAGGCCTCGAAAAGTCTCACAAATTAATAGAATCTGAAAATGTCATGTAAAATTCAAGGAATTTCTGTACTACTTACATTTATTCTAGTCATTCATTTGACTACAAATTACTCTCTGTACAGTAACTGTGTTCTTTAGAAGATTTTAAAAGAATTTACCAGTAATCCTAACAAATGATTGGAAAAGTCTGGAAATTCATTTTTTGAAAAGTATGGGACCCAAAATGTAGCCTGGATTGTGTTTCCTTGTACAGTACCTTGTGTAGCTTTGTTCATGGTTTTCAAAGATGAGGACATGTCATGCAGCCTGTCCATGTTGAAATCCGTCTAATTTGACTGGCTTCTACCATGCTGTTTTCATCAAAATGCCATAATCACACAATCTTTGACATCATCAAAAGATGTGGGAGGTTTGTCCACAATCTTAAAGAGATAGTTCACCCAAAAATAAAAATTCTGTCGTTAATTACTCACCCATATGTTGTTCCAAACCTGTAGGATGTTTGTTCATATTCAGAACACAAATTAAGATATTTTTGATGAAATCCGAGAGCATTCTGACCCTCCATAGACAGCAAGGGTCCTACGGTGAAGGTCCAGAAAGGTAGGGACATCTTTAAAATAATCCATGTGACATTCATGTTATGAAGCTATGTTATTTTTGTTTTCTTTGCACACAAAAAGTATTCTCGTAGCTTCAGAAAATTATGGTTGAACAAAGGTCTTACAGGTTTGGAATGACATAAGGGAAAGTCATTAATAACAGAATTTTCATTTTTGGGTGAACTATCCCTTTAATAGAACAGACCTGAATCTCACCTGTTCAAAACCACTGGACTTTAACGATAGGTGTTATAAAACGACTGCACCTTCTAGGGGAACATATTTAAAAGTTTATCTTGACATTATGTGAAATCTACATAGCCCAAAGGCAATTCGTGAGATTACCCTTTCAAAACAATGACTAATTAACTCTCAATTAGTAGATTTAACTCTTAATTAGTAGAATGCAACTAAATACAAATGAATTATTAAGTAAGAGATGTGCAGACTACACAAGATGACCTGTTTGAAATTAATTTTCCTAACAACCCAGTGTGCAAAAGTGAGAAAATTCTTTTTTGATTCATTGAGTGTTGAGCTCTAATTAGAACAAGCGGATTTGATGAAGCGACTAAAGACAT